AGTCTTAAAGTTGTTGTATTATATTATTTGGTTATAATTTACTCTTATGTAGAGGTTATATGATTCTATAAAGTAAGTTGTTAACGGATACTGCTAGGGTTGTTAACGCCCTCTCATTAGGTTGTTAATAGTCGCTGCTGAGGTTGTAAATCGTAATGACAGAGCAAATGTGAATCTGGAATATGAGGGGCAGTAATGTCATTTTACAAAACGAAAATATTACTTTGAGGTCCCTTGGGACCTGTCAATGATTTTGACATTTCGTGAGACCTCAGAGTAATAAATTACCTTCTGTTGGACCTGTTAGTGATTTTCCCTATATTATTGGTGCCTTAAGAAAGAATAAGAAAATTTCCCCCTCGCTTCTTTGCTCTCCAATTCTCTATTTACCCTTTTTTTGTTGAATATCTTATCTTTTTTTTAATTTTTATAACACAAATTAAGGTTTTTAAAATTTTTGCGGTTGAAACTGAATATAAAATGGGTCATTATAGGCCGGAGGGATCGCATTCACTGATAGATTCTAAAGAAGCTTTGGACGGTGAAGTATGGAGGTTTTGGGAAAAAGCAAATTATGTTCTCATCAATCAACTCATTAGCATTTTAATCTGATTCCGCACTTGCTCTTTTCTTTTCCTTTTTAAACCTTTGATTCCTAACTAACCCATCTTTGCCTTACGCACTACTATGTGGATAACATCAAACAATATAATATTTGTTTTTATTTTCTTTTTCTTTATCTAATTTACTTCAACTTTTTGAACTCAACCGTGTAACTATTTTTTTTTTTCTTACTAAAGTATAAGTATCCTCTTATTAGAGGCAATGATATATGAGACACTATTCGTCACTAAATGTGGGCACTTCTCCCAGCGAGAATTCAAACTCAACCATTTAACTACTTAAATGATTTTTTTTTTATAATTCAGAACATACCCAAGTTACTTTGGGTTTGAGACTAATCTCTATTAGGTCAGAAGCGTTAAAATTAAAGCTCTCTATATAAGTACACTTCTCAAGATTCAAACTTTTGTTTTCTTTTTTTTGGGTGGTAAGACCACTTACCATATTAAATAATAGCTTGTTGGTTAATTGAATGAATTTTTAATCTTACAAACAACTAATAGAGTTCGTATAAAAACTTCAGAATAAATTTTTCATCCTTCACAACAGTATGTAGGCTAATTAATATTTGTTGGGGTTTTTCATCTGCTTATTAATAGGTCGAACATTTAAAGAGGCTAAAGGTTTTTTTTTCCCCGCCAAGAAAGATCAAGAGTAATTGAGTGATTGAAAAATATATTTCAAATTTTCAAAATTAAAATCAGCGAATTACTCTCTTTCTCTCTTACCTTAAATTAAATTCAACAATTAATTGTAAGAGCTCAATTTACTTTACATCCTCTAAATTTATAAATTTTTAATTAACCTATCTTTATCGATTACATATACTATATTAAAAATGATTTTGATCAATATGAGTAATAATTAGGAACTGTATTTTAGAGAAATCAATACATATTAACTACAAATAAATGTATATAAATTATTTATCTGGTTTCTGCATTGGATAAAGAGAATATATCAAAGATAAGGTTCTTGGATGAGAGGATCAATCATCTAAGTTGATGAGTTTTAAATATAGCATGATATAAAAGCAGTTGGATTGGAAATTCTTACAAAAGAAAAGTTTCTTACCGCCAAAAACCTTATCCAAAAATGAAGTGTGTATATGTACGGGATGTATAAACACTAATGAGTACATGATTTATAAACTAACTTAAATTAAAATATCAATTAATTATCTCTAATATAATTCAAAACATAATCTATATGTGAAGTTAAATGACCATGGGAAAACTGATGAAAAGTTTTTATTTGGAAAGTACTTTTTCTCGAGTAAAAAAAGACTTGAATTGAATGGGCCCAATTCAACTTCCACAGGTGCAGTTTTTTTTTTTTTTTAATTGAGTACAATATTTCTTTAACTATATGTTGTCTTCCGTTTTGCACATAGTTAAAAATAAACTACACATAGTTAAGATCTTTAAACAAATTTCTGGTATCTTTTGATTTAGCCGTTTTTTTCAAAAAAATAAAATTGATAATTAAAAAAAGATATACTCCTCCGGTCTTTAATATAAGACCCATTTAACTAATTTGATTAGATTAAGGAAGTTAGGTAAGTTAGTTAATTATAAGAAATGTGACGCGTTTTTTCTAAAATACCATAATCATCTTTCTTAATACCCTATCTTCCTTTTCTACTTGATTATGGTTGAGAGAATATCTATAGGGGTAATTTAGAAAAAATTGATAAATATGATAAATGGATCTTATATTTAGAATCAAAACCAATTCAATATTAAGTCTTATATTAAGAACCAGAAGAGTATTTAACATTAAAAATGCTTCAACACCATGTTTTCCTTTTTATCATATGCTTATAATTCTAGTTTATATAATAGACATGGAATAAAGGTCCGTGGCACTGAATCTCATTTCTTTCATGTTTCAAAGAGAATATAAAACCATTACCTCACAATGGCGTTTAAGGTACGCCAAAAGCCAAATTATAAAGGTCATATGTACCTTTTGTACTATCAGATAGTACCTAAGGACATAATATAATTGTTCCACTTTTCTTGAATAATAAAATATACACACACAAAAATAACATGGATTATAAAATAAAAATACACACCCAAATCACTTTAAGCAAATATGATTCTCTACTTTTTACTTGTAATCTCGTTTTCTCTTTTGACAGTATAAACTTGACTGGGTACAAGAATGGATTTGCTCAGGAGATGGTATCAGTGTATAAATATGCTCAGACAAGAACGAGCAGGTTAACTTGGAAATCAGTAACTACTCACCTAATTAATATGGTTTTTTTTTGTTAAGCGTATATATCTTTTTATTAGAGATAATTCTTTTCTGTGCTATATATAATTGCTAAGCATATGTATCTTTTTATTCAGTTTTTTTTTTTGTTGTTGCTAAACACAGGTTAACTCTATTTTATTGAATTATGTGTCATTTATAATACTCTACTTATTTATGAATTTCTGGCCCAAAAAAAAAACTTTTGAATTGATATCTTTTCTATTTAAATACTATTTTTGTGATTTTTTTAATATATTTTGATTAAATTATATTGTTCCAAACATGATTGATTTGACTTCTGCGAGACGAGAATCGCTGCTTTAACTAATTTAATTATAGACTAATTTATTTTAGAATATTAATAATAAACCCTTCCCAACTAAATGTGTTCTTTTTAATTTTGTTAATTTTTCTATCTTTTCATCATTAATAAAATTATATTTTATCAGCAGATTTTTAATATTTTTTATCTCTTCAGTGCATAATATAAAAAGGTCTCTGTTTTTTTAAAGAAAAACTTCTAAAATGGTTTCCTCCCATCCTAAATATAGAAACAAGATAATTAATCTATAGATATCGAAAAAATTAATTAAAATTTCTCTAAAATATCCTATTTGATCACTGTTCCCATAACTCATTGATAAAAACCTCTTTTAATATATGCAATCAATAAAAAGATTAAAAAAAAAAGACCAAGATTTTATGTTTAATATCGAAACAAATATCAACTCTTAGATATTAAATTAGATACGAATGGGATAAAAAGGTAATTTCGCTCTTTGGTTGCCATTTCGTGTTTGCCGTGCCACCATGCTTTTAGTATTGCATGACTTTGTTTGGGTCCCAAAAATGAGGCCTTAAGAGTCAAAAAGAAGAGGGGAAAGGATATGTCCCAAAGCATGTGTGCCACTGAAACAAATTGCCAACAGTTTAATGCACTAATATGCCCACTTTCTTTTTCACTGATTGATCACTCAATAATTTAAATTTCAAGATCATCAAGCTCAAATTGAAGGAGGTATCCAGTATAATTCTTTTTATTTGAAAATTCAGAGTCAAAACTTTATTTACAATATTCTCTGAATAATTTATATAGAATATAATGACTCTTTAACCCCTACTCAATAACATTATTGATCTCTATATCTTTTTCTTCATATATAACTATTTAACATTTTACACTATCAATTAATTTAAATTCAGATAGGAAGTTATCAATAGGAATTGGGTCTGGTAAAATGAGTTAGTTCCTCATAATATGATAATAAAAATTTATAGGTTTAAATTAGTGTTTAACCGTGCTCCCAATAGTATAGTCTCTCAAAACCTGGATTAAGACGTAGTTTGCATTAAGAACTTTAAAATCCTGCAATATATGTTGCTTATTTTGTAAGTCTTCTTGCTAGCCAACTTAATAACATATTTCTTGCTTAGTTTTTATAAATCTCCCACCTCTTATTATAACTTGTACTCTTTAAGAAAATCTACAAGAGGTATTGCTTATTTCACAAGCTTTTTTCTTTTTATTTTGTAACTTTCTTGCTTAATATTTAGCAATCTTCTATTTGGTTCATAACTCTCTTATTTGATTCTAAAAATAAAAATTTCCTTCTTTTGCATTCATAGAGTTTTGAACATATTGCTTAAGAGATAAATTCCATTCATTTTGGCCAACGATTCAAGTGTGAACACCTCCTCCAAACAAAAATTTGAACATTAATTTATCATACTACGAGGGATAATCACTTCTGCTGGTTGGTCATGGCCTAGACTTTTTTTTTTTTGGGTTAGGTATAAGTATCTTTTTATTGGAAGTAATTTTATTTGATACACGGTCAAATATTTAATATAAACACCTCTTTTAATAAAGATTCGAATCTTGATTCACTGGATTGGATTACAGGTGACTAGCTCCTTTTATTAGGTTTGGTCACAGCCCAGCCTTTTTAAATGTATTATATACGTTGCTTTTGTAAACTTTGAAAAAATGGTACTGAATCGTATCGTTAAAAAAGCCTATAAACCTTTCACACACATGCATATACCTTCCGCCACTTTTGAACCTATCACTCACGAGACTCCCCTGAACCTGAAAGGCTGAAACTTCTTCCTCTCCTTCTTCTTCGTCCTTTCAATTCATCTTTATGATCCTAATCTACCTGATCCTCCTCATTCATCCTAGGATCGATGCTTAAATCTCCCTCCTCGTCTCTTTCAAACCGAAGTCCTCTGCACTTGGTTCCTCTCTGATTTGTGTTTCAGGATACTTTCAACTCTTTGAACAGATCAATTTTGATAGCTTGATGAAAGAAAACCCTCATGTTTCGAAATCACTTCCTACGATCCGGAGGGAAATTAAATTCAAGTTCAAATCCCTTTTGACGGTATGTTTTCATAGCAAACATCACTATAACGTTTCGTAATAATTCATATCGAGCTTTGATGGCGACATCGTGTTTTCATCCACTTCGACTACGAAAGTGGAAGAGGAAAACGTTATTACCGGCGGCTTCTTCTTCTACCTCTTCTTCTTCTTCTTCTTCTTCTTCGTCGTCGTCGTCAAAGAGGCAGTTGAATTGCGATGGTGGGGAGAATTTGGAAAGGAAGAGATTCGACAGCGTGGAATCATGGTCCATGATACTGGAGTCTGAGAATTTGGAGACGTGGGAGGCTTCGAAGGAGGATCAGGAAGAATGGACCGCCGATCTTTCTCAGCTTTTTATAGGAAACAGGTTCGCTTCCGGCGCTCACAGTCGGATTTATCGCGGCATTTACAAGCAGAGAGCCGTGGCTGTGAAAATGGTTAGAATTCCGACTGAGAATGATGACAAAAGGACTTTACTGGAGCAGCAATTTAAATCCGAAGTTGCTTTACTTTCACGTCTCCTTCATCCTAATATAGTGCAGGTAATGTTTTTTTCCATTCCAATTGGAAACTAATTATGGGAAGCCTTCTTGTTTTCTTCTCCTCATGGATTGTTTACTAAAATTTGGCATGCTCTTTTTGACATATCAGAATTCTAAAAACATGCTAGAAAGCACAAATTGGTACGGTATTGATTTTGGAACCGTTTGAAATAGTTTCTAAGTAATTTTTTAATCGTAATTTACGGAATACGAAATAAATATGTAAGAAAATTTTGATTTTAATTTACATAAAATGTGCTTATAAATATTTTTTATCGCTATAACAAACAGGCCCTCTACAGGGCAGACCTCCAATCATAACACACAGTGGGCTGTTAGAATTGCAAGATTACTGCTGTTTGCTTGTCTAATAGTGAATTATGTGAGAGAGAGAGAGAGATTTCTGAACCCTAAATTTTTTTCCCCCTTAATTTTCAATACACCTACTTGATGTCATTTACAGAGTTTACTTTATGTTTGTCATGTTTCGGGTCCTAGAAGAGCCGGTGATTTGATTTGGTACATATTCTTTTCTGAATGTTACACACATATATAACTCACATACACTCCACGACTCATTGAGAGTTCAAACTTACAACCTCTCCTCTGCATGAGATGCTTTGGTATCATTAAGGCTGTTAAGGCTTTAGAGATTTGGTATTTATCTCAGAGTTTTAATTTATCTGATGTAATACTTTTATATACAAGGATGAATAAGACGTGATCCTTAAACTACTCTTAATTTTACAGTTTATTGCAGCTTGTAAAAAACCACCAGTGTACTGTATCATAACAGAATACATGTCACAAGGAAATCTGAGGATGTACCTGAACAAAAAAGAGCCACACTCTCTTTCAACCGAAACTATACTAAGATTAGCTCTCGACATATCTAGGGGTATGGAGTACCTTCATTCACAAGGTGTGATTCACAGAGACCTCAAGTCAAATAACTTGCTTCTCAATGATGAGATGAGGGTTAAGGTTGCAGATTTTGGCACATCATGCCTTGAAACACGATGCCTGGAGAATAAAGGTAACATGGGGACATATCGTTGGATGGCCCCGGAGATGATCAAGGAAAAACCATATACTCGAAAAGTGGATGTTTATAGTTTTGGAATTGTGCTTTGGGAGCTCATGACCGCCTTACTTCCTTTCCAAGGAATGACCCCTGTGCAAGCTGCATTTGCTGTGTCTGAGAAGGTCAGATCACTACGCCTAAGTTTCTTTCTTCTTAGGGTTAAACTAAACATAGCTATTTTGAACTGCAATCTAATAACAATTTTAGTTCATAAACTCTAACATAGTACATTTTACTCCACTAAATTATGACAAAAACAAGTTATATAGTTAATTAATTACTATTAGTCACTTGATTGTCTTGTAATATCTAAACAAGTAGGATAATTGGAAAAAAAAAAAATATGTGGCCTTTAGGTGTTAATTTTAATTATAATATCGAATGTTTTCTTTATATCAAGTGCACAAAGTAAATTGTTGGGTTTCAAAGTCCAGAGCTCCACATACTAAAGTTCCAATTCAACTATAGGCCATTGCGGGAGTTGTATGTAGTTTCCTCATATGTTTTTACTCTTAAATATCCCCTCCCTGCCTTTTTCCCTTCTTGACTTTCTTTTGCCCGAATTATCGTTGATTTGTCTTGGTTTGAACTCAATTTAAATGCTAAGCATTTGAAACTTATCATGCTTAATGGTATAACATTTCTTTATTGTCAAAATGATTGGCTCGGCAAGGACTCCGTAATGGCATGAATTGTCGAAGGCATAGTCATCTTATGAATTTTCCTGCTTTGTAGCAATTTCACCAGTAAGTTAGGATTATTTAAATGATTCTTCGTTCTCAACACTAGGAATGGTTCAGGATTGAATTTTAGTTTTTCTGTATACATCTGATTCTGATGTGACTTTAATGCCAAGACGCAACTAGGCGTATAGTTAGTATAGAGTTACTTGGAGATATTTCTCATTTGGCTTCTGTGCCCTTGGTTAATCGGTGTCATAGTCTAGTTCTTCTATATTGTGTACATTTGTCATCCTTGTTGGAACCAACCTTTTTAACATGTAAATTTTCAATATTGCACATATGCTTATCAAAAGAAAGATATCTAGATATATATATATATATATATATATATATAGAAATTCCCAGGTATCTATTTCCAATAGTTTAGTATTTAGCTAAACATTAAGTCATTTGCTTCTCAATATAAGATCATTGGTCGATTTTTTTGTGAAATCTAGATGTGAGTGATGTTTACTTGGAATAGTATTAATCAATACACACACACACACAAGTTTGTAGTGAATAATGCAGCTTAATTTTTATAATTTCATGTAATATGTGAAACGACATCTAATTACAAGTCTCTGCTGTGTCTTATCTCATCATATCTGATGTAATACATATAGGCGACTAGTTTTCAAAATAATGTCTTCCTCCATTAATTTTTAAATTTTGACTCTTGACTTCCTGAATTTATAAATTATGCCACTTTTTTTTTTTCCATACAATTTATGCAACTTGATCATTCTATTAGAAGAATATCGGTCCAACAATCTAATGGACCCGATGTAAATATTCGAACACTTTTGTATGTCTTGATTAATTCGAAGATTAGGGGAAGGGGGTTGAGGCTTATTTGTGTCCCTCTTCTCTTGTTTATAAAGAGGCATAAGACCATGTAAAGAGGCTCTAGTATATTGCTTTTAACAAACTTTTTATTGTCAAAGTTGTGTAAACTATCAAATAAAAATTACACAAGTCCAAAGTAACTTTGAGATATTTTGAGTTATACTATAAAAACAAAAGAAATTATACAAATGTCAATCTGGAAAGGATGCGAAACGCATGTTTCTCTATCCCTTCTTTGTGTAGTACTCTTCTGGTCCTAAATATAAAACCCACTTTATAATGCAAATTACATTATAAAATGAGTTTTATATTTAGAATCCGAGACTATTTTTCATAGTCTTTCATTAAAAAATGAGAAGAAAAATGTGGGGAGTTATTGCTGCAAAGAATTTTGATTTTCCTCATTTTGCTTTATCAAGAATAAGAACGTGTGTTAAATTGCCGAAATTTACATAAACTATTTGTCAATATAGAACTTAAAATGTGAAGAAATGGTGAGGGGTAAAATTAATAATAATAAATAAACAACTGTTATCTTGCATGAGGTCCTTCGCAAAATTTAGAGCATGATGAACATCGTCACCAACCCTAAAGCTCCTTCACAAGAGTCTAGATTAGTTACCTGTCTGATATCCTGGTTTTAATTTAGAACCAATCATCAGAAGGAAGAATAAATTACGCCTTATGAAACTGACTAGTTGGCTATCCTGGATTCCTCATGTTTCATATTAGGATTTTTTATGGTCCTGTGAGCTTTTTTCTGGGGGGAAAAAAAATTGAGAGGTAAGCAGCCCAACGTGTGATCTCCTACTTGTAGAAAAATATTAATACCACTAGATTGCAAGGCCATTATTGTCCAAACCTGTGAGCTAGACGTTGCTTTGGATCTCTATTTCAACTGCAGAACCTGGCAGGAGAAGTAGGGATAACTTTTGCAAGCCATATGTTAGTTCTTTTAACGGTGGGAAACAGTAACATGCTTATGTATATAAAAGAAAAGGTGGTAATAATAATGCTGCTCTTTTTGGTTAACTGATATATGGGGGGTGACTTATTTTAAGCAGAACCAAAGGCCACCATTGCCGGAAAGTTGTCAGCCGGCACTTGCACATCTGATAAAGCGTTGCTGGGCGGCAAATCCCTCGAAGCGGCCGGATTTCAGTGAGATTGTGTCTGTTTTGGAAAAGTATGATGAATGTGTCAAGGAAGGCCTACCTCTCACTCATTATTCAGCCTTCGTCACTAAAAATGTCATCATTCAACGCTTAAAAGGTTGTGTGTCCATGAGTTCCTCTGTACCTGTACATGCCTGATTTATCCGCTTCCATCTGTAAGCTACATATATATCACTTCAATCTGTATATCTTGTTCATTAGCTTGTACATGCTTCAATGTTTCTTCCAACTGTATTATGTAAATGCAACTTATAAGGCTTTTTTCTTTGATTTTCTTTTGGTCTTTCCGGTCAAAACTGACAAGAAATAACATCTCAATATCCTCAATGTGTTTCATCAATTTCCCATCCATAAAGCTAAGTGATACCCAAAATGACACCACAACGCGTCTCATGCCATAGCTATACCAACAAACAAGAATTGTCAAATCAGATAGAGGCCATAATATTTGGATGAGGCTATTAAAATAACTAGATACAGAAATCCCCCAATCAATAAATTCAAAACCAGGGGGTTCTCTGGGCTCCTATGTAAATATCAGACCGCTCCGTCATAATCATCAATTGTCTTTTTCATTCCATCCAACTGTGATATAACAAATTCCAGTTTCTTGAAGCAAATCTCATTGGCTATTCTTGAACCATAAAAGCACTTCTCAAATGGACGATACTCACAAGCACTTTTGATTTCATCACGCAATGCCACCTGGATGTCCTAAAAGATTTTTAGAAGGAAAAAAATGTTAAAAAGAACTACATACTGTTTGCATCCTTCGGTCAAACAAATGGAGTTGAAGCTTCATCAAAATTGGTTATAATGAGCCACAACCAGAGCATTGTCCATTTATTTTAATCTTCATTTCTACGATTTCTCCCCAGTTAGCTAAAGGAAGTTTTGCTAGGAATTTGAGGTAGTTGGTTGTCCATAGTCAGTGACAGAGCAAATAATGAATATAAAATCATTGTCAGAATGTGCAGCAACTAATTTTAACGAGCTGCCATTTAAAGACAACAGTCAGATCCTACAGTAGAAATGCCATAGAGGGGGAAAAAAAAAAATTAGAGAATTCAACAATTAGCCCGTAAAAATGGACACTAGCCTCCTATAACATATCTAGAAGGTTACTATTTCCAATGCTTTCCGCCATCATCAGTGTTCATCTTCATATTTTGTGAATTTTGAACATGAGAGGATCTTAATGGATAATTCTACTGCTTCACTGTATATGAATGTTCAGCATTTAAGGGAGGAAGGAGACAGAGACGAACACATGATTGATATTTGGAAAAGATGTGGGCAAACTTTTTTAGATGCTTGTTATTAAGTTTTGCAATTAAATCTTAACATGTGAAAAAGTCTTTATTACATGACCCAATCGTTCAATGCTAATTTGTGAAATACAATCTCTACTCATCATGTTTTTTCCTCCCAATACTTGTCATTTTGTTATTGGATAACTTGATTAAAAAGATGTAAGAAAAAAAGCTGCACCTAAGTTTTACATTCTACGTTTGTCAACAAATTGGATTTCCAAAAATGGAGAACAGAAGTACCTTGATTAATTGCATGAATTCCAGGCAGTGATTTTGGACTACATCTTTCCTAGGACCTGTAGAGCTTGCAAGCTCATCCATGACTCCTCCTGCTAACTCTAAAACCTTGACAATTCTCTACATATTACCACAAAATTATACATATCAATAATATGTTCACGGCAAATTGTGAGGATACTCCATTCCTTCAATGTTCTAAATGGTTTCAAATATCACCTTCTCCACATTCTGAAGTCGCTGCAATGAAGTTGTTTGGCCCTGTGAATCCATTGATGCTACACCTTTGAGACCTCTCACTCAAATCTGAGTAACCAACCAACAGTAAGCAATCAAGCCTACTTCCATGGAGACAAATGGATCACAATATGTAAAGAGGAAATTTAAAGAATCTAAGGACCCGTTAGTTGGGCGAAATCGCAGCACAGGAAATGGAAACCATCCTCGTTTGGTTGCACAAAAGGAGACAAAAGTTCCGAAGGTAGGGAAAATCGATTCCTTCAAGTGGACTAGAGATTCTTCCACCGAGGAAGGAAGAGAAAGATAAATTTACTGAACCACCCATGAAGAAGCAGTAAACAGGTTAACGAAGATAAATTTACTGAACCACCCATGAAGAAGCAGTAAACAGGTTAACGAAGAGGCATTTGTTCCAGATTTGCTCACAAGAAGTGAAACAGAATGAAAATTTATAGGCACACATTGGACATTAAAATAATTGCATATATTGATAGAGAGAACTTAAATATGCTCAGCATTTTCATAAACAGGATTATTTGCAAAGAAGCATAAGAGATTTGCGCAGCTGAAATCAGCAAATTATCCACTCTAACTCAAGCCAAAATCTTTGCTCCCCAAAAATATGCGGAAGACTTGATAAAAATAGAGATATAGGTGGATGGAATCTTAACCTTGCAGGCAAAAAATTTTCGTCCCGCACTGGTCTCTAACCCAACAAGTTTTCTATCGCACCGCTGTCATCTCCGACGCCGATTTCCTCTTCTTCGTCAAATTTCAGAAGACGGCAATGTTGTTGGACCGAACACCCTTACCCTTAGCTTTCCCTACTCGATCTTAACCAAATATTGGCCCTAGCCACCGATTTTCTCTCACTTCACCGCTTTCGCCGCTAGAAACCATTTGCTCTTCAACGTCAACCCACTCAGTCGCCGGCCACACTATCGCCCCCGGATACTGAATGGCATTAAGTTTAAGGGCATCCCCTGTAAAAATCAATATCAATGGGTGATATTTGCTTCCAGTGCCAACTGCTATGGACAGTCGAGATGGTTACCCGTTATAGCCACACGGTTCTGATTTAATAGTATTATTTTACTTTTTAATTTTGAAGTGCTTAATAGTACTCGGGTAAATTGCACTCTAAAATCAGTTTTATATTTAGAATAGAAGGAGTATATATAATTACTATAAGGTAGTTGGAGGGTCAAGTTTGGCATATTAGTCTATTTTTCCTCTCATTATTTTGAGAAATTTGGTTAAAAGTCTCTGCTTCAAAACTTAATTAGCTAAAAAGACTTAAATTTTAGTAAGTACAATTATGATTCGTAAGTGTAATATATCTTCTTCCAACATATCATCAATAATGTGCAATAATCATTAATACGGAAGCCCTTTGCACACAGTGAAAAATATGTTGCATATAGCGAAAGACAAAGAACAAAAAACCAAACCAAACCAGTTGATTCAATTGAAAAACCGGGGAATCGGCCAGTTGTCCAATTTGGTTTGAGGTTTGAGTGCTGAACCGGTATGAAATTAAACAAGTATCAATCCGGTCAAACCAATATGAACCGACGAAAAGCAGTAAAAACTAGTGTAAACTGATTTGAACGATTATGTTGCTATTAGTTCTATTTTTCCTCATTCAGCTCCTATATCTCAGTCATTGTAAATTTGAATGAATTTTAATGATAATTTTAGCATCAATAATTATTAATTTTAGTTACTGAGTAATTGTAAAAATAAACATTCTCAATGTTGTTATATTTTGTTATTATTACAATTAAACTATTATTGTATTTTCTTGTATTTTGTTATTAGTGATTATTAATGTTAGTATTTTGTTATTTTTAATTAAATTATATTATTTTAATATAACCGGTTTGATCCTGAGTTAATCTTGATCTAATCCACTGACGCTTAAATCACTACCTGAACCAATTCAGCATGGAGTCTGATTTTTCATTTCTTGATGAAAGATATGTTACATTCACGGATCATAGTAGCATCCACTCAAATTTAGGTCCTTTTAACCAATTAAATTTTCAAACAAGAATTTTTTTAACCAAATTTTCCTATTATTTTTTGAAATTATTTCTATTAATTATAATGTTAAGAAAGGGATTAAGAAGACGGGGGAATGTCGGGTGAAAATGGGACAAGTCCAGTCAGTTTATTGTGCAGTTGGCTTATGGGGTGATTTCCCATCAAAACACTTATAGATATACTCCTCCAATCTTTAATATAAGACTTATTTAACTAATTTGATTAAATTAAAGAAGTTAGGTAAGTTAGTTAATTGTAAGAAATATGACATATTTTTTCTAAAACACTATAATCATCTTCTTTAATATCCTCTCTCCCTTTCCTACTTGATTATGGTTGAGGAAGTATCCATAAGGATAATTTAAAAAAAAAACTGATAAATATGAAAAATAGATTCTATATTTAAAACCAAAATTAACTCATCAATTAAGTTCTATATTAAGAACAGGAAGAGTACTTTTTGGAGAAGATGTAGAAGCTTCCAGTCCCTTCATGACGTGAAGCTAATAAGCTATGCTCTAGTTAGCATCTCAAAGATGCTTGCTCACTAATGAAGTCCGTTACTAGAGATGTTTCAAAAAACATGATTCACCTCCTCCAAGATTGTGGCAGCAGATAACTTGACCAAAAGGGCCCTTTTGTCCCTAGGAGGGTTCCGTGTGACCGGCAGTCCTCGAAATGACTTACCCATGATTGTTTAGATGGATCAAGCTAATTCTTGCAATGGGTACTTAGGGTATTAGCTTAGGCTTCCTCTTGTTATCCAAAAAGAAAAAACAAAAAAAGTTTGCATTAAGGATAGATTATTTTCTTTTCTTGCTTCAACATTTGAATACTAAACATTAATTGTTAATTTTCATAAAATATCAGGCAGTAATTTTTTTAATTAGGTTGGAGAAAAATAATACTTTAATTGTTAATTTTCATAAAATGAATTTATTATTTACATATTATAACGTAAAAATTTAAAGATTTAGATGGCTCAAATTTCACCACAACTATTACGAGGATCATGATGCCATTACATTTAATTTAATTTAAATAAGGACATTTTTGGGACAAATTTTGCAATTCGCGACAAATTCAACTAATTTGAATTTAACTTTCTAGTACATATGAAGTAGTTTTTTTATATATAAAGACATATATAATTTTATTAGAGACAATCTTATTTGAAGTACTATGAAGTAATAAATTTGAACACTTATCTTCAAACCTCAAAATTATAGATGATCATTGAGCCATCAGTATTATGGACTTATGAAGTTATTTATTTTATGTTTTCAAAAAACAAAGAGTATAAAACAAGTTAGCCCAATAATCAACTATGTATACAATCCATACATGTGTTTGGTTTATAGTTTGATAATAATACATCTGCCAAATTGACGTTATTGCAAATGTAGTTTGGATGATACAAATCAAAAGT